CACCTCTAGGTCAGCACTAATCACACCATTCAGCACTATAAAAACAAAACCAATACAAACCCAAACCTGGATCATATCTCTGACTAGTTTGTGGACTTCTTGAGAACAGAGCTGTATTTTAGTTGTCTTTATACCTTCAGAGTGTAGCACAGCAACTGGCACACACAGAGGCTCAGTAAATGCATAAATGAAATGCTGTCCTGAGAATGAAAGCAAATGTGGAAAACTATTCTAAATTTTCTAAGTATTTTCATATGCTTATAAGAAATTAAGATATGAATTTGAAGAATATGCAGCTATATTTTCTGAATGCCTTACATATCAGGGTCCATTAAATAACTTAATAATAATATCAAAGTTTGAAACTTCTTATGCTTCTCTTTTGTCTTGCAATGAAAGCGTGATTCTGTTCTAACTATCACTCCCATTATTTGGTTGTATGGACCCTGCGGCAGAGACTACCGACTGTCCTCTAAGATTCTTTCTTTCTTTCCTCCACAATAAAATCATTGTTGCTGAGAATATGGTTGCCTATATATATTGTATTTCCCAGATACCCTTGCATTAGATGTGACCAAAGGATAGTTCTTAGCAGTGAAATATGAGCACAGGTGATATGATGTGTAGTACTTGCCTGTTGACTTCTTAAAACATCGTGGGATGCTTTTTCCATATCCACTTTCCCCTTCTGGATGGGTAGAACCGAGGTGACCCAGTGAGACTGTGAAAGTGACGACAAGGTCTGGGGATATGGGAAAACAGCTCTTTTGTAGGAACATGAGTCCCTGAGTGATCATGTAGAGTGGAGTTGTCTGCCAGCCTGGAATGCTCACTTCATGCTTTTATATACGATAGAAATTAATTTCTGTGTTTTTTAACGCCACTGAATGATGTTAGGCCTTTGGGCTACAGTGATCTAACCTTCTCTTAATGAACACAGGCACTTTACCTTAACGGAGACGAAGTCACCTGGTCACTGAGACACTGCATTGAAGGCATGAAGGTGAAACAACCTGTCTACCATTTCCCTCACAGATCTTAGAAAAGGACACTCTCAAGCCACAACATCCGACACTCGATTAATTGTATTTACAAGACAGAGTTTCACATGCTTTTTCCGCTCCATTTTCTACCTTCACCTTCATCATGTACCTACCTACTCACAAATAAAAATAAAAATAAAAACCTACTCACAAATAAAGTTCACCTGAGGTGTTAATGCCAGTCCCAAATAGCAATTTTCTTACAACGTTAGTGGACGTAATAGGAAAATCTGAGGATTCCACTCTCTAAGCAAAGGTAGGATCAGGGGTAGTGTTCAGGTAGGTTAGTGTTCAGATACTGGGACACTCTTGGCTCAGAATCACAGACCGTTGAGAAGGGTGTCTCATGAAGTCCATCACGGACACAAAAGGGACAGGACTGAATGTTCTTCAGGCCACACCCTATTATTTTCTTCTTTTTTTAAAATTATACTTTAAGTTCTAGGGTACATGTGCACAACGTGCAGGTTTGTTACATAGGTATACATGTGCCATGTTGGTTTGCTGCACTCATTAACTCGTCATTTACATTAGGTATTTCTCCTAATGCTATCCCTCCCCTTGCCCCTCACCCCACGACAGGCCTTGGGGTGTGATGTTCCCCGCCCTGTGTTCAAGTGTTCTCATTGTTCAATTCCCACCTATGAGTGAGAACATGCAGTGTTTGGTTTTCTGTCCTTGTGATAGTTTGCTGAGAATGATGGTTTCCAGCTTCATCCATGTCCCTGTAAAGGACATGAATTCATCCTTTTTTATGGCTGCATAGTATTCCATGGTGTATATGTGCCACATTTTCTTAATCCAGTCTATCATTGATGGACATTTGGGTTGGTTCCAAGTCTTTGCTATTGTGAATGGTGCCACAATAAACATATGTGTACATGTGTCTTTATAGTAGCATGATTTATAATCTTTTGGGTATATACCCAGTAATGGGATTGCTGGGTCAAATGGTATTTCTAGTTCTAGATCCTTGAGGAATCACCACACTATCTTCCACAACGGTTGAACAGTGTAAAAGCTTTCCTTTTTCTCCACATACTCTCCAGCATCTGTTGTTTCCTGACTTTTTAATGATCGCCATTCTAACTGTTGTGAGATGGTATCTCATTGTGGTTTTGATTTGCATTCCTCTGCTGGCCAGTGATTGATGAGGATTTTTTCATGTGTCTGTTGGCTGCATAAATGTCTTATTTTGAGAGTGTCTTTTTGTATCCTTTACCCACTTTTTGATGTTTTTTTTTTTTCTTCTTCTTCTAAATTTGTTTAAATTCTTTGTAGATTCTGGATATGAAATTAGCCTTTTGTCAGTTGGGTAGATTGCAAAAATTTTCTCCCATTCTGTAGGCTGCCTGTTCACTCTGATGGTAGTTTCTTTTGCTATGCAGAAGCTCTTTAGTTTAGTTAGATCCCACTTGTCAATTTTGACTTTTGTTGCCATTGCTTTTGGTGTTTTAGTCATGAAGTCTTTGCCCATGCCTATGTCCTGAATGGTATTGCCTAGGTTTTCTTCTAGGGTTTTATGGTATTTTCTTAAATAGAATAATTATTATCAATTTAAAATAAATTTGTGGCAGGCTGCTATATATTTACCAAAATGATTTCTTAGCCTCCTCATCATAGTTCAATTATATTTTTGCAGCCTTTATCTCAGATGTGTCCACAAACCAAGTTTAGGCTGATGGAAAGTAAGAAGTGATATATGTCATTTTTGGACAAAGATTTAAGAAGTAGGTATATCTTCCCTGTGCTCCCTTTATACTTTAGCTGAATGAATAGAGAGAATGCTGAAGATCCAGAAGGGGTTGCAGCCACAAGATGGAAGGAACTCATCCACCCATATGAATGATCATAAGGAAAACCATCTGCCAACCAGGAACATCTGATTGGGCTCTATCAAACACCAGGTTGTGATGCTTGTGTATTATAGCAGCTAACTTTACTCATCCTAATACAGGGTTTTTCTGGAAAACATAGCAAGGATTAATATTCTGCAAATAGGGAGGAAAAAACACTGTACCATTCATCACGTTACTAAGGCATTTAGACAGACTTATATACAGTAAAAACTCCCCTTTCAGATGCATATCTTAGGTTCCAAGGAAGGGTTAAAATGCTGTACCTTTTTTCATTTAATTTTTAAAAAAATTTTTGTGGGTACATAGTAGGTATATATATTTATGGGGTACATGAGATATTCTGCTACAGGCACACAATGCATTATAATCACATCATGGAAAATTGGGTATCTATCCCCCCAAGCATTTATCCTTTGTGTTACAAACAATCCAATTATATTATTTTAGTTACTTTAAAAAGTACAGTTAAATTATTATTGACTATAGTCTCCATGTTATGCTATCAAGTACTAGGTCTTATTCATTCTATTCGTTTGTGTACTCATTAACCATCCCCTCTCCCCTTCCCCCCTCCACCCCCACCACACTATCCTTCCCAGCCTGTGGTAACCATCTTTCTATTCTCTACCTCCATGAGTACAATTGTTTTCACTTTTGGATCTCACAAATAAGTGAGAACAACATGTGAAGTTTGTCTTTCTGTGCCTGGCTTATGTCACTTAACATGACTTCCAGTTCCATCCATGTTGTTGTAAATGACAGGATCTCATTCTTTTTTTCTTTTTATGGCTGACTAGTACTTCATTGAGTATAAGGGCCACATTTTCTTTATTCATATATCTGCTGATGGACACTTAGGTTGCCTCCAAATCTTGGCTATTGTGAACAGTGCTAGAGCAAGCATAGGAGTGCAGATATCTCTTCAATATACTGATTTCCTTTCTTTTGAATATATACCTGACAATGAGATTGCTGGATCATACGGTGGCACTATTTTTGTTTGTGAGGAACCTCGAAACTTTTCTTCACAGTGGTTGTACTAATTTTATATCCCCACCATGAGTGTAGAAATGTTCCCTCTTCTCCACATCCTTCCCAGAATTTGTTGTTGCCAGGCTTTTGGATAAAAGCCATTTTAACTGGGGAGAGATGATATCTCATTGTAGTTTTGAGTTGCATTCCTATGATGAGCAATGATATTGAGCACCTCTTCATATGCCTGTTTGCCATTTGTAGGCCTTCTTTTGAGAAATGTTCAATTCAACTTTTTGCCTATTTTTAAACAGTATTATTAGGTCTTTTTCCTACAAAGTAGTTTGAGCTGCTTATATATTCTGGTTATTAATCCCTTGTCAGATTGATAGTTTACAAATATTTTCTCCCATTCTGTGGGTTGTCTTTTCACTTTGATTGTTTCCTTTGCTGTGCAGAAGCTTTTTAACATGATGTGATCCCATTTGTCCATTTTAATGCTTTGGTTGACTGTTCTTGTAAGATATTACTCAAGAAATCTCTTCTCAGTTTCATGTCTTGGAGAGTTCCCCAACTAGTAGTTTCATAGTTTGAGGTCTTATATTCAAGTCTTTAATCCATTTTGATTTGATTTTTTTTTTGTATATGGGGAAAGATAAGGATCTATTTTCATTATTCTGCATATGGATATCCAGCTTTCCCAGAACCATTTATTGAAGAGACTTTTCCCCAATCTTGGCACCTTTGTCAAAAATGAGTTCACTGTAAGTGTGTGGATTTGTTTTGGGGCTCTCTATTGTATCCTATTGGTCTATGTGTCTGTTTTTTATGCTAGTACTTGGCTTTTTTGGTTACTATAGATCTACAGCGTAATTTGAGGTCAGGTAATGTGATTCTTCCAGTTTTATTGTTTTTGCTCAGGATAACTTTGGCTATTCTGAGTCTTTTGTGATTCCACAAAAATTTTAGGATTATTTTTTCTATTTCTGTGAAGCATGTAATTGGTATTTTTATAGGGATTGCATTGAATCTGTAGATTGCTTTGGGTAGTGTGGGCATCTTAACAATATTGATTCTTCCAATCTATGAACATGGACTATTTTTCCATTTTTTGTGTCCTCTCCAATTTCTTTGTTTCTTCTTTTTAGTAGCACTATTATTTTATTATATACTTTATAAAAAACAAATGCTCAAAGACATACACCGCCCCCTCCTCACCTCCCATGGCCACTAGGGAGGGAGCTCATACCTTTCCTAATGTAGATCTGGCCATCTTATAAAGTAGACCACATTATCTGTTTCCATATATATCCATAGATACTTTTCTCCCCTCAAATATTTATATCTCAACTAAAAAAAAAAAAAAAGGAGATGCAAAGAGTATATAAAGATAAATGAGATTTTCTTGCTGTTGTTATAGCACAAACACCAGATGACTACCAGGGGAGTAACAGTGGACAAAACAAAAACACAAACCCCACCTTCAGCGAGGAATAAAAGGTCTGTTACTTGCCTCAAGTAGCTGAATCACCTGCTGTAACTGGCACTTCCCTGACATTCATGGGTTTGTAGGGACATGGGCCAGGTGATTGCTTCTACGTGTTTCCAGAAGGCATATGTCTCCTACACGCTTTCTTAGTAACTAAAGATGTACTACAAGAGAACTCAGTATTTGGATTCTGCCCAGAGGTATTAAATGCACAAGGAAAAATTAGTTATGTCCAAGTAGCAAGCAATAATAGTTTTAAACCAACATGGTTAAATGTTTGATTTGCAGAAATCAAAATGTTTATTCACATAATTTTAAACTAAAGTTGAAGATAATAAATCTTCCGTGGTAATGATTTAAGTGCAAGTGATGCTTGGCTCTCTTTCACATACATTTCTTTTCTTCAGAGTGAAGGCATATCAGTTATTCTTGAACAAGTCAATACAGCTCTGCCAAAGGGAGACACTGTTCCTTGCATGTTATATTTCCATTTCAGACATTTCAATTAGATTCTTTCTAAATGCTGCCACTTTCTTCCGTTTGAAATTTATCAGTTCTTCTTTTGCAGATTTGGAAAGCTATTCAAATTTCTGGCAGCACTCCTGCTGGTGTGCCTCAGCCAACTTGATGTCTTTGCTCTTTAAACTGGGCCTTATCCAGAGCTTTGTTTGAGTTCTCATAGTCAATGAGGGTTTTGGTGCATCTATATAAGAGATCCTTAGCAGCCTCCATGTTGAGCATGTAGAATCGGGGGAGCTGTGTTAGCTTTAAATCTTCATCTGATGGGATTCGACCCTCTACTTTCCTAAGTTTTTCAAATAGCTCAGCAACCTTCAACAGATACTTTTTGATGACTGTGGGCTCTTCTAAAGCCAGGCTATGTAAGCAGGCTGCAGTGTGAATATAGTCGTCGGCAACATTTTTATGAGATCTGGTCATTTTGTGAGATTTCACACAAGAATCTTTGATCCTATTGTAACAGTTAATAAGGAAGTTATTCTCTTGCTCAAAGAAGTCATCTACCTCCTTAACTCTAGTAAAAAGGACTGCATCAGCACTTTCACCACGCTTTTGAAGAAGCCACCAAACATCTCTTTAGTATTTTTCCACCTAACACTTAGATCCTGATCATATTCCAGGAAAACATGAAAGTTGCGATCTTTACTGAGAACAGGGTGAGAAGAAAGCCACTAAAGAAAGGCTTCATGGGAGGACACAGTCTTCTTAAAAACAGCGAGATACTCAGCTTGCAGTTTTTATTTCATCTTCGTAAATTCTTCTTTGGTCATAGACCCTTCATCTTCTCCCAGTTTCTGCATTTTATCTCAAGGACCATCGAAGTCAGGCTTCATAGGAGCAGGCGGAATCTGCAGCAGAGGCAGGAATTCATGAGCCTCTTGTCCCAGTAGCAATGTTTTCTAGTTGGTGCCTCATTCTACTCTTGCTGGTCCACAGGAGACAACCACTCCACTCCTATAGGGCTACTTAAAAGTCAACTCCTGTTTTTTCTTAACCTTCCTTGTTTCTTCTGGCCATTTAAAAGGAGGTATCTTTCTGTATTCACTTTGATGGCAATCATTTGCCCAGTTTATCCATTACAGACAATCGTTCAGAGCACAACAGTGTCTATACTGCTTCAATGTTGCCCTAAAACTAGTGTAATGAATGCTAAACACCAATGATTAGCCATCAAGATTATGAAGTCTCCAGTATTCCAAAGGATTTTTTCCCTAATCCCAAAGCATAATCAAGGACTCTAATTTTGAATGAACAGAACATATCCAAATATAAGCTTCAGTACTAATTTTGTTTAATTATTAAGAAATCGTCATTTGGACAGATTCTTCAGTCTGTGTGGCAGGACAAAAAGGATGGAAATCTCCTTTAAAATCAGCTAAGTCTCTGTTCCTGCAGCTAAGAATTAAGGATCAAGGGCTGAAAACTGCCTCCTTGGCCCCTTTTTGGTTTCTGGGAGACAGAGTCTCACTCCGTCACCCAGGCTGGAGTGAAGTGGTGCAACCTCGGCTCACTGCAACTTCTGCCTCCCAGGTTCAAGGGATTCTCCTGCCTCAGCCTCCCCAGTAGCTGGGACTACAGGTATGCGCTACCATGCCCGGCTAATTTTTTATATTTTTAGTAGAGACAATGTCTCATCATGTTGCCCAGGCAGGTCTTGAAATCCTGAGCTCAGGTAATCCACCCACCTCGGCCTCCCAAAGCTCTAGGATTACAGGCATGGCCTCCTTCAGCACTTTTGAGAAATCTTATCACATACTATTACCAATACTGCTGTTTCCTAGAAATCAATTCCACTGACATTGGGAAGAACATACCAGAGAAAAACCAAACCTAAAGGTAGATAAGACTAAAGTCGTTATACTGTTTACACCACTTTACAGCATAAATAATGTAAGCCTGTATGCATTACCTCAAAGCTATAATACTGTTCCTTCACATATTTTCCACTTAACCAACAGTTAGCAAACACTCTAGTAGGTAGACGAAATCAAAATTTTCACAATCCATTACAAAAAGTAGACATAAATCTCTTTAAACTAAATGAATAACAAGGCAGAAAGAACTAGCTTATTTGATTTTCTAAAACACTCACAATAAGCCCAGCATAGACCGTTCTTTCAAAAAGAGTGTTATGTAGTCACACACAGTCTTCTTGTTGCCTTGTAACAGAAAACTCTGGACTCTGAAATGTGGGCAGTGTGGTTTTTGTGTGCACCGTAAATTTGACCTTATCTCTTTCACTGAGCGCATCAGGTATGTCAATCTGAAGCGAGGGATCAACATTCACGTCCACAGATACAGATCTTGGCTTGCTACGGTCCTCCTCCTGCTGCTGCAGCAACTCAGGAACAGTGGCCATGGCGACATAGGACTCAAGCAGGGGCCGCCTGACCTTGCTCTGCTCCGGGAGGAGGCCACCGACTGCAGGGTGGCAACAGGGATTCAAAGCCAGGGACACTCTCCCAGCAAGTCACCTCTAGAGAACGCCTCTTCAATTTCTTTTGTCAGTGTTTTATAGTTTTCATTGTGGAGATCTTTTGTTTCTTTAGTTAATTCCTAGTTGTTTGATTGTATTTGTAGCTATTGTAAATGGGATTACTTTCTTGATTTCTTTTTCAGATTGTTCACTGCTGGCATATAAAAATGCTACTGATTGAATATACATTCTTCTCAGCACCACATCGCACTTATTCCAAAATTGACCACGTAGTTGGAAGTAAAGCACTCCTCAGCAAATGTAAAAGAACAGAAATTATAACAAACTGTCTCTCAGACCACAGTGCAATCAAACTAGAACTCAGGACTAAGAAACTCAATCAAAACCGCTCAACTGCATGGAAACGGAACAATCTGCTCCTGAAGGACTACTGGGTACATAACGAAATGAAGGCAGAAATAAAGATGTTCTTTGAAACCAATGAGAACAAAGATACAACAATACCAGAAATCTCATGGACACATTCTAAAGCAAATGGTGTAAGAGGGAAATTATAGCACTAAATGCCCACAAGTGAAAGCATGAAAGATTCTAAAATTACACCTACAACATACACAATTAAAAGAGAACACAGAAGCAAAGCAACACACATTCAAAACCTAGCAGAAGGCAAGAAGATAACTAATATCACGAGCAGTAACTGAAGGAATGATAGAGACACAAAAACCCTTCAAAAAATTCAATGAACTCCAGGAGCTGGCTTTTTGAAAATGATATAACCAAAGATTGGATAACCGCTAGGAAGACTAATAAACAAAAAGAGAGAGAATCAATAGACGCAATAAAAATATGATAAAGCGGATATCACCACCAACCCCACAGAATACCAAACTACCATCCAGAGAAATACTATAACACTCTACACACACAAATAAACTTAGAAAAACCTAGAAGAAATGGATAATTCCTGGACACATACACACTCTCCCAAGACTAAACCAGGAATGAAGTTGAATCTGTTTTCCGAATAGACCGAAGTAGGCCCTCTGAAATTGAGCAATAATTACAGTCCTATCCAACCAAAAAAGCCATCGGACCAGACGGATTCACAGCGAAATTCTACCCAGAGGTACAAGGAGAGCTGTTGTGCTACCATTCCTTCGAAATTACTATTCAATCAAGTAGAAAAAAGGGAACCTTCCTAACTCATTATGAGGCCAACATCATCCTGATACAAAGCCTGGCAGAGACACTTGAACAAAAAAAGATATATTCAGACCATATCCTCTGATTAAACATTGATGCAAAAATCCTCAATAACTGATACTGGCAACCGCGATCCAGCAAGCACATCAAAAGGGCTTCTCACATGGATAAGGTGGGCTTCAATCCACACGGGGATGCAAGGCCTGGTTCTAACATCACGCAAATTATAAACGTAATCCAGTCATATAGAGGAGCGCGGAACAACCCCAACAACCAACATGATTTATCTTCTCATACCCGCAGAAAGGCCTGACAAAATCAACAGCCCTTCATGCTAAAAACTTCTCCAATACAATCTCCCGTATTGATGGGAATATATTTCAAAATAACTCTAAGACTATTATGACAAACCCACAGCCAGTATCATACTGAATGGGCAAAAGCTGGAAGCATTCCCTTTGCAAACCAGAACAAAATAAGAATGCCCTCTCTCACCACTCCTATTCAACAGAGTATTGAAAGTTCTGGTCAGGGCAAGAGAAAGAAATAAAGTGTATTCAAATAGGAAGAGAGGAAGTCAAATTGTCTCGATTTGCAGATGACATGATTGTATATTTAGAAAACCCCATCATCTCAGCCCAAAATCTCCTTAAGCTGATAAGCAACTTCAGCAAAGTCTCAGGATACAAAATCAATGTGCAAAAATCACAAGCATTCTTATACACCAAGAACAGACAGACAGCCAAATCATGAAAGAACTCTCATTCACAATTACTACAAAGAGAATAAAATACCTAGAAATACAACTTACAAGGGATGTGAAGGGCCTCTTCAAGGAGACCTACAAACCACCGCTCACAGAAATAAGAGAGGACACAAACAAATGGAAAAACATTCCATGCTTATGGATAGGAAGAATCAATATCGTGAAAATGGCCATACTGCTCCAAGTAATTTATAGATTCAATGCTATCCACATCAAGCTACCACTGACTTCCTTCACAGAATTAGAAAACACTACTTTAAATTTCATATGGAACCAAAAAAGAACCCGTATAGCGAAGACAATCCTAAGCAAAAAGAACAAAGCTGGAGGCATCATGCTACCTGACTTCAAACTATACTACAAGGCTACAGTAACCAAAACAGCGTGGTACTGGTACCAAAACAGATATACAGACCAATGGACAGAACAGAGGCCTCAGAAATAATGCCACATATCTACAACCATCTAATCTTTGATAGACGAAAATCTTAGAAACTTTGAGTTTGGCAAAGATTTCATAAATAAAACATAAAAAACACGGACAGAAACAAAATTTAAAGTATATAAAAAGAAAAAACTCTTGGTATTCAAAAGGCACCATTAAAAAATAAAAATTCAAGCCTCAAACAGGGAAAAATATTTGCAACATGTATGATAAAGCATTTCTATCCAGAATATATAAAAGTATTCTTTTAACTTAAAAAGAGGACAAACAACCCAATAACAAATGGGCAAATGATCTGAGTAAACACTTCACCAAGTAAGATGCACAGATTGCAAATAAGCTAATGAAAAGATGTTCAACATTGCTACTCATTAGGGAAATGCAAATTAAAACTGCAACGGGATAATACTATATACCCACTAAAATGACTAAAATTATAGAGTGACAATTCCAAGTGCTTGTGAGAATGCAGAACACCTGGAATTCTCAAATCATGCTGATACTGACTACAAAAAGATATGGCCACTTTGGGAAACAATTTCTTACAAAGTTAGGCATTCACTTATCACATGATCCAGCAATGCCATTTTTAATTATTCATCCTAGATGAACAGATACAAAGGCTTCTACGAAAATGTACAAAAAAAAAAAAAAAAAAACTAGAAGAGCCAATAGTTTCCAGGTTTATTTACAATAGTTAAAAACCACATTGAACACAAATATTCATTAACTGGTAAGTAGACGAACAAAATATGACATATTCAGGCACTGGAATACTACTCTGTACTAAAAAGAAACCAGCTACTGACACATGCAACAGCATAAACGAATCTCAGCAGCATTAACTGAAGTGAAAAGTAGCCAGACACAAAATGCTGCATACTGAATAATTTAATTTGCATGAAATTCTAGAACAGGTGAAACTACAGTGGTAGAAAGCAGGTTTCAGGTTGCCAAGGGACTGACTGCAGAGGCATGAGGAAACTTCCGAGAGGATAAAAATGTTCTGTTATATATCATCATTATGGTGATGCTTACATGACTATATACATTTGAACCTACCTTGTTGAATTGTTCACTTAAAGTTGCTGGATTTTATTGCACATAGATTATACTTAAAGTTGAAAAAAATCTTCCCACAATCCCACCACATAAAGCAAACCACCATTAATATTATGACATCATTTTTTTCAGTTTTCATTTACATTTAATATTCAAAATCATGTTTTACTTGTATACTTAAAAATTTTTTAAATACAAGCTTTGTATTATCACGTGCTTTGAAAGAGCAATTTATAATAGCTGATTATAATTTACCAAACTGTTCTATTGTTGGGCATTTACATTGTTCACAAATTTTGCATATTATAAATAACTAAAGCTAGTTATTACATATGTGGTTTTTATCCTGGAAACTGGACCTTTTCTGAAGTCAAATTCTGCATAATATTTTGACTGAGCACTGGAATGCCTTCTAAGGGGCCTGCCTGCCACCAGTTGGCCTCCACTTTCACCTCTCCCTACACTGTTGCCAGAGTTACTTCCCAAATACAATTGATGATATCCCTTCCCATATTATAACTCCAGATGGCTTTCTGTTGCTTACAGCATGAAGCCATGTTCTGTTGTGGAACAAGTGGCCTGTGATAAGCAGCTCTCAGCTTTCAACAGGTACTCTGCTATGGGTTGAATTGTGTCCCCTCAAAAAAGGTCCCACTACCTCACAATGTGACCTTATTTGGAAATAGGGTCAGTGCACATGTAATTAGTTAAGATGGGGTCATAACTGGAGTAGGCTGGGCCCTTAATCCAATATGACTAGTGTCTTGAGAAGAAGATAGCCACGTGAAGACACAGAGACACAGGGAAAATGCCAGGTGAAGACAGAGGCAGAGATAGGAGTGATGCGTCTACAAACCAAGGAAGGCCAAGAATCATCAACTATCACCAGAATCCAGGAGAGTGGCATGGAACACATCCTTCCTTCACAGCCGTCAGAATCCCACTGACACCTTGATTTTGGACTTCAAGCCTCCAGAACTGTTATGCAATAAACTTCTATTGTTTCAAGCTACCCAGTTTGTAGTACTGTGTTACAGCAGCCCTAGGAAAGTAACACACACTCAACTTCCCTATCACTATGAACAGCCAATTCTTCCTTTTCAGAGCTTTACAAACACTCTTGTCACCTAAGAGTGTTATCTACACCTCCTTCCAACCCCACTACTTTGCCTGGCAAAGCTAAGATTTCTTTCCAATACCTCTTACCTCTTCTTGGGTGAACATTTTCTGCTTTTCCTTTTGCCTCAGGAAGTTGACTACATTAACCCTCACTGGCCTATTTTAAATTGGACTTGCCCTGTATTATAATTATCAACTCTCCTTTAATATATTGAGATTTTTGAAAGCAGAGATCACATCTTACTCATTTTTGTGTATGAGTTAATGACATCTTAATTGACATACCTCACAGAAGATGCACAACATGGTGGACACACTTTGGAATGACTCTGGAGTGAAATAGATCAGATCTGGTTTAAAGTTCAGGCTCCACACCTTATCAGCTACAGGAATCCTGGGCAAATTGCATAACCTCTCTGAGCCTCAGTATCCTCATCTATAAAATGAGGTTAGTAATTTCTTTCTAATGGGTGATGAGAAATTGATGAGGTATCCTATGTGAATGTGCATACAAACATGGTAGGCCTCTAGTAAATGTGTACCTTTTTCAACATAAAATTATCAGTTTTTTTGTTGAACATGTAGATAAGACTATAAAATA